CCCCAAAACCCCAAAACCCCAAAACCCCAAAACCCCGAAGAGCTGTAGTTTTATTGAAATTAGAATATGAGCATCAAATTGAGCAAGGATGGGAGGAAAGTAAGCGTTGTATGGCTGGGTTGTGGGCTTTTAGTGTGAGAAAATTTTATGTTAATTACTCTAGGTATCAAACTCTAAAGCATCAAAAGTAAGCATCTCAATTTATCTTGTCAATATGGTATCTTTTAGAACAAAAATGTGCCAAATTTTGAAATACACAAAGCTAAGACTTCATGAAAGACGAAGACAAAACCTCTTAAAAAGAGCACCAAGAACCCAGTGTTGTCGCACAAGTCATCCTTCAAAGACAAGACGCATTACAAGAAGTATTTCATTAATTCTCTCCGCAAACAAGTCAGCTTATAAAGTCGTCCCTCAATTATTTTGACGGCAGCAGTGGCCAGGTCAAGCCTCTTGTGACCAAGAGAAAGCCCAGACAGTTCTGATCGCCCATGAGTCTGCTCAGGAGTCAGTACAAACAACTGGCCGAAGGCAAAGGCTCTCCGAAGAAGCGCAAGAAAGTGAAGTCGAAGAAAGCGAAGAGTTCTGTCTGGCTCAAAAGTCCGACAACCAAAGCCACTGGTAAGGATATTAGAATTGGAGAGCTGTATCTTATGATATTCTCATAATATGTCATTTTAACTGGTTCCTTACATCAACACTTTGTCTTATAGGAGCTGATCTCAAGTTGGTGTTAAAGCAAAAGCATTCCAAGAGAAGAGACACCAGTCGTAGACAAAACAGAACTGTCAATAAGATCAACCCCATGCTTAAGGCTAGTAAAGTATGTACTTGTGATAACTATAGAAGGGAAATAACAATGACTTAATTCTGGATGGAGAAAACATGCTCGACCACTCTGACGTCCAAACTAGAACTGTTGACAAGCATTACCACAACACATTTGTTGAGAGCCAGAACAATTCTATCATGAACTCAATGGCTTCTAATCTGCATGATGTTGGGACTAGGTCAAGGAAAAACCCACAAACGAGCACTTTGAGCTACGATGATGGCTCTATAGGTTATCAGCCAAGGAGTAATTGCTTTGTTCATGTTGTAGATCATCTCAGTTCCAACTGTGTTGTCAGCAACACTTGATCTCACAACCATAATCAAGTAGTCAAATCCAGCAAATAACTCAGGAACAATGTAAGCATTGTAGCTTGAACAATAGCAAGCAAAGGAAGAAGTCACGAGACAAAATGAAAACTGACAAGAGGTTGTCAAAAATAGGCTCTACAGCTGCATCTCCAAAAACTAAAAGACTCACTAAACACAAGATGCTAGCTCCAAAGTTACTATCCATGGTGAAAAGCCCTGTGCTGATTAAGAAACACCCAAGATTGCTGAAGCCTCGTCCGAAGTCATCAAAACTTGATCCTTCAAAGAGATGCTTGCTGACCAATGTTGCCACAGTAGACCTAACCCACAAAGCCGACACCACTTCCAAACGGACCGACCGTAAAACCTACCGAAGGTCCTTAGACATATGCCTGAAAGACTTCAAACACCGTCGCAACCGAACTCCAAAGCACAAGAAGAAACTTCTGACGAACACAACATCACACTACCACCAAAAGTCATCCACCAGCATTTCCATCCACAAGAAGAGGAAGAAGAGCTCTAAGCTCAAGTAGTCATCCTTACCTAAAACCCTCCCACTTAGACTAAACTTTTCCTTATTTTCTGCCGCCTAGCTTCCTATGCAGGCGAACTTTGGCTGGACCAATAGTAGAATTAGTGCTGATAAGGAAGGGAAATTTAGAAAGAGGGGTGAAGGTGTGGAGCAGTAGATGAGGGATTGGGGTTGGTGGAGAGGAGGGTTTTGGGGTTTGGGGAAGATATGGGAGGGTTGGGAAGGGTTCTGATTGGGTAAAGTTTTTTTTGATAAGTTTTCAATAAATTATCTGTTTTTGGGGTTTTGGGGTTTTGGGGTTTTGGGGTTTTGGGG